CACCTGGGGAATATGCATAACTAGGGTGAGAAGCCTTGATTCTGCACAGTGACCAGCCTATTCATAAGTGGCCACTGCTTTGGAGGAGTCCCAAGTTTTTGGCTGTCCAATGTTGGACATAAGGACACAGCACTTACACCTCTAGCTAACATCAATGGTAGGTTCAGCTATTTAATACCTCTGAAAATCAGGCCCAAGCTGTCTGGTTATCTCTGGTTTCAGCAGTCTTTTGCTCAATTCTACTTTAACTAATCCATCCATAGATTTGGCCTCACGCTGTTGCACTACCAGAATTAGCAGGGGGAACACACATTGGTGGATGAGGCCCTTAGCAGCGTCTGCTATAAACCACATGTGAGAGAAACAGAGGTCCAGGGCAGAGCCAGCACTTAGGAACCCAAAGACTTCACCGTTGCCCACAGGACCCAAGGCAGTGGCATCAGGAATGGGCATGAGGCCCAGTCAGCACTCCCCATCCCTCACACCAAGGGACCCCACAAGGGGACAGCAGCATATGCTGCAAACACTGTGAGATCATCAACCACTACTTACCATGGTTTTCAGTCTGGACATTTATTTCCTCTCTGTTCATTCCAACAGCTTCTCTCCGCCTTCCACACCATCTCTGAACCATTCATTCTCTTCTCCTTCCCATGCTCTCTCACTTCCTTTCTCACTGCTCTATATTACCATAACTTCCCTACCCCCATTCTCCTATTAAGTTTTCCCCTCCACCATTCCACCTCATTTCAGCCTCACTTTTTGTATGCATGCTGTGACACTACACCCCATATTCTTCATGGTGATACTGGTATGATATAATTATAACAGTTATGATGTGTTTTATGCAAGATAAGTAATGTGAGATGTCATGGGAAAGGTTATGATTTGCTGAATATGATTATCTTATTTGTATTCATGCATCATTTTTGTATCTGAAGTTACGAATATTGATTGTCTGCATTTCAAATGTAATTACACCTGGGGAATGCCCACTAGACAAGATGCTTTCATTCTAAACAGTGCGTGGGGAATGGGCCATAGGAAAACAATAGGCCTTGGGAGAGGCTTATCTCCCACCTAGGGAGCCTTCCTGAGTACCATCCAAACAGCTTATGAGTGGTGACTGCTATGACTCCACAGGGACATGTGAGGAGACCACGTGTCTCTAGACTCCATCTTCAATAATTTTCCACAGACAGGTCTGGGAACTAGGAACCAAACTCTGCAACAAAGGGTTCCCGCCCTATATGCCAAAGCTATATAAGGTGGGGAAGGACATCATCTGGTGTTCTTCATTCCCCACTCAAGAAGACTCCTGGAAACACCTGAGGAACAAAAACTGAACTGGGGGAAGTGCGGGACCCAGACTAAAGGGATTTTTAGCCTGTGAATGGAACACCTGGGCATTCCAAGCTGTAAGCAAGTGCAGCTTGCCCCTTAAGAATCTGCAGCCTGCTTGTATCATCTCTTTGGGTGAGAAACTGCTATTCATATCCAATCTATTCAGTATATTAAGTTTAGTTTATTTTTTTGTTTATTTGCTAGATAATCTGCTTTGATCTGTTTACTATCACTTAAAATCTATATTTTGTAGTTAATAAACTTGTTTTTGCTCTGTCTAAACCAGTTGGGATTCATAACTCAGGGGCAAAAGGCTGTTACATATTCCTCTCCACATTGAGGGAGAGGGTGAATTTTATGAGCTGATGCTGTACAGTTCCTTGTGCAGTGCAAGAGGTTATAATTTTGGGTTTATACTCCAGAGGGGCTGCGTGCCTGAAGAGCTGGTAGCTGCCCTAGTTGTAGCCTTCCCATGCAGGGGTTGGTCAGACAGCCTGTCTGCATGTAACTGCAGCTGGGTGTGTCCCTACCTCTATGTATGCTGGTGAAAGTGCAGGCTAGAGAGGGCATTGCAGCTTGTCACAGCAGAACAGTGTAAAAGGGAGCCCAAGCTGGTGCGTCAGGGGGGCTTAGTGGTGTCCTAGTTCCAGGTGGCAGCCTGGGAGGAACCCCTCACACATGTACCACACACAAAGAAAAAGAAAAGTGAATCAACATGACAGCTGTCAAACATCACCCTTATTACTTTGCCTTCATATTGAATCCCTTCCCCTGATCCTACCTCTAGGCTTTACACTCTCCAAGGCAGAGATTATTTGTCCATACAGGTATAGTACAATGGGACCTTCATTTTGATTGTGGCCTCTAGGTGCTAGTGTAATACAAATAATAATAAATCCTAAAATCCACACCTACATAATCATGCCCCTTACGGTACATTTCTAGTGAACATTACTTCAACAATTATTGAACCCCTTTATTAGATAATGAAGTTTTTAATTTTACTGTTTTAATTGTGTATGTTTTGTGTTTTAGAACCATGTTTTGGTTCCTTTAAACTTGTTGTTTTGAATGTCTTCCATGTTGCTGGAGTGCCACTATTAATCAATGAGGCAAAGGATGCTGGCGGTCACAATATATTTAGTTTTAGTCGCAGCTTGCTGGATGCAGCTGTACTAATCAAAGCCCAATCACATGTATTCTGACTTGCCTGGTTTTATCACTCAAGCAGTGTAAGATGTGCAGTGTCAGTTTTGTTAAAGGCCATGTATGTTGCCTTCTCTGGAACACCCTCAATCAATAGAACTACTTGCTTAAGTCAGGATTTTTTTTTTTTACATGGATAAAGGTTGAAGGATCAGGCCCTATGCTGTTTAGACCTGATCTAAAGATCCTAGACATCACTTGAAAGACTCCCAGTTATATCAATGGATTATACCCTTTATCATTACTTTAAAAACACCTTTAAAAATGTTGGTTCATGAGTCATGCTGCTGTTTTGAGAATACAAAACAAACTGACACATTTCAGTTCTATGTGACTGTCTTTTTCTGAATCAAAATTCAGAAGTCCACATCCAAGCCACCTAGACACTATAGTGATACAAAGAATAAATACAGAAAATAATAATAATAATTTGACCCAGACCAAAAATAAGAATGGGCATACTGGATCAGAACAATGGTCTATCTCAGTGGTTCTCAAACTTTAGCAACCAGAGGACCCCCCGTTTTGATTTAAAAATTTTCAGGAGTCCCCAAGCTCAGCTTTGCCCTGCCCCTTCCCTGAGGCCATGCCACTTCCCCGCCCCTTCTCTTAGGCCCCACCCCCCACTCACTCCATCCCCCCACCCTCATTCACTTTCACCAGGCTGGCGCAGGGAGTTGGGGTGACAGGAGGGAGTGGGGGCTCCAGTTGAGCGGTGCTTACCTCGGGCAGCTCCCTCTGGCAGTGGCTCCTAGGTGGGTGGTGAGGCAGCATGGGGCCAGAGAAGGTAGGAAGCCTGTTCCGCAGCATGCTGGGATGGAGGAGGAGGAGTTTCTCAGCAGGGCCCATGGACCCCCTGGAGGTCCCAGTGGACCCCAGTTTGAGAAACGCTGGTCTATCTAACCCAGTATTTTGTCTTCCAACAGTGATCAGTGCCAGATGCATCAGAAAGGATGAGCAGAACAGAGCAATTATCAAGTGATCCATCCCATCATCCAGATCCAGCATCTGACAGTCAGCGGTTTAGGGACACCCAGAGCATGGGGTTGCATCTCTAACCATCTTGGCTAATAGCCATTGATGGTTAGAGATGTAACCCCATGCTATCCTCCATACACTTATCTAATTCTTCTTTGAACCCAGTTATACCTTGTTACCTTCGCAACATCCCCTCTGGCAATGAGTTCCACAGGTTGGTTCAAGTGAGATGTAAATTGATAGTAAGTGATGGGATACACATTTCAGACTAGAAACAATCCTAAAATGAGTGACATACGAGTAACAATCATGTTAGTGTGTAGTATTTATGGTGTTTTCTCAGTAATGCTTTCACCTTAAGAATAAATGTGCTTGCTTAGAAAGAGCTGTGTGGTAACTTGTAACTGCAGGCAATTACACTGTTCATAACCTTCAGCAAGAAAGCAAAGCATAGCCACTGGCCTGTTTAGGCAGTCTGACTTAGTAGGAATATCAGTGTAGGCAAGGAAATATGCAGCTTGGAAAAATCCAGTCATGAGAGAGAGAGAGACGGGTCTTTGTGCAAAAGAGGTGATGGCTGGGATCCAGAAACCTTTAAGTGGGTGCCCTTGAGGGACCATGGAGGGGGACTACAGGTACACTTGCCAGATCTGAAGCTGTGACAGCAGGCAATACTCCAACTGCCCTACTTCCGTGGGGGGTTTGCTAGCATAGAAAGTGTAGGTTTAGGCTTAGCCTGCAAAGGTACAGTTTATCAGTAAGAATGGCTTTTCATTATTAGTAGAAAGGTGGTTGCTTTGCAGGTCTCTCCTCTGTTCTAGATGAAGACATGGACATAAAATGTATCACCAAAATTGCATTGTGTAATATAGTATACACCATGTCTGATCACCCTCATTTCTTTTTACCTTGATAATAGCATAGATTTTTGATTTCGAAGGGCGAATCTATTCTAGTCACACCACAGTTTCAGCCCATTGCTAACTATGTTTATTGGAGGGCATTAAGTAGATAAGGCAATCTCTATACACAAACATTTGAAGCTAGCGTTGATGGAGTTCATAAAATTATTCCTAGT